TCAATCTTCATAACATCAGTAAAATCATCAGATTGGACTACTGCAATGTAATCATCAAGCATGGAATGATACATTTTAAATCTTTTTCGTACTGAATCAAATCTTGACTTGTCAACGGTACCCGTAGATTGATATTCCTTCATTAAATATCTGTATTCCAACAAGATAGAAAATGGCGTAATTGGAAGAATAGCAGCGTTGATCATTACTGTCAACTGGGTGTTCTGATTGGCTATAAAAACATTGCAAAGCTGGGCCACCAATACTAGCACAATAGAAATCACAATAAGGGAAATGAAAAATGTAGAAAAACACCAGTTGGTACTTTCTCTTTTGATGGCTACTCTATAAATTTCTTTCGCCTTTTCTTGAGGATTAATCCTGTCATCCTTGTACATTGATGCAGATTCTAGCTCTGCAAAGTCTTCCAATTGTTGCTCAACACTTTTTCTCCTCTCATATAATGCCAAATTACGAGCCTCTTTCAAAGGATGAACTCTGTTGGCTTTCTGGTGTGAGAAAGACATTTTACGTTTGCGAGCTTCATTCTCTTCCATTTGATTCGCTCTCTGTGAATATTTAACTCAAATCTCTTTAAATTCATATTACTTACTTCATAAAAATCATCAGCTGCCTCTTTCTCATAAAGAACTTGTTCCAAGAATCGAGCATAAGTTCTATAGACACTCTTCTCACGTTTACCAGAGACTAGATTCTGTAAAATGTCATTGCATGACTCAATTTCAATGGAAATGTTACGAATGGATGATTCGAGTGCTCTCTCAGAAGAATCCTCTGATAATAAGGTTTTCCAGAATGACTTTTTCAAAAGAAGAATATTTTCTTGCTTCATTAGAACTTTCTCCAAGTAATTACCAATTTCAGACATGTTAGTACATGTTATTTCTTTCTTTCTTATCATGAAATTCATCTTGTCAATGAAATTGGCAGTATCTATCAATTCCTCAGTTTTCTTCAACAGCAATATGGAAGAAGCTTCAGAATTCTCAATCAAGTAGTATGTATAAACTATTGCAATAAGTCTATCTTGAAAGGATACATCAATCTTGGAGGAAGATACTGTCTTGATCAACAATTCGGCATAATCAGAATGTGAACTATCCTTCATAGACCAAATTATGAAATAATCCATATATTTAATTCCTCTGTCTAAGAATAGTTCCCCATCAAGAAGATTAGCTTCAATATTTTTCTTTACATAGGTTTGCATTAATCGAGAAACAATTTCCAATGACGCAAATCCACAAATAAACCCTAAAATGAATATTGAGAGAGCTATTCCCATAAAAATTAAACCAACTGTCTCTGTGTCAATGTTTTTAGAGTTTGTCATGACAGAAAAAGATGTTAATGAGACAGCTGACCATAAAATAGATCCAACTAACACTCCAAATATCACTGAATTCTCCACTCTTCTCATGAATGGAAGTCTATAGCATTGCAATACACAAAGTGAAAGGTTTTTCAAAATGAGCAAAAGTGGTGGAACGTAGTATAATGAAGGTGGAATAACTTGTTGAACAAATGCAAATCCAATATTCGAAGAGATCCACATAGTAGAAAAGAATGGACTGAATGAAATGAAAACTCCCCTACTCATAGGGTTAATGTCAACCATTATCAATGATGATATTATTGATGTAAATAATGTTGTTAATGCTCCAATGACAGAAATAACTATCATTCCAATATTGAGAGAAGACCAACATGCATGTGATTGTTCGAATCCTGATAAGGTCATTGAAGTATAGTCACAATGTAAAAACCGCCCATAGCAATACATCATTGGAACTGCAAATAATACATGAAGGGTACTAAGCAGTCGAGTGATTTGCTTTGCTCTCTCCCAGTATTTACTTCCATTACTAAATGCCTTGTGACAAAACAAAAACATTAGGAGAGTTGTGGCCGAAACTATGAATGAAATACAAGCAAAAGCAATCAATCCCTATTAAATCATTAATGGTTATGATTAAATCCAAAAACAACATACTTCATAGGGTAATAAATCAAAAGATAATGTCCATAGAAAAGCAACTGATCTCATAACCCACCCACCAACGAAACCCCACCTGTACTCTGAATAGGTGGACAAAGTTACTGTCTGTAATATCAGCCACAAATAAATAATGATAGAAATTAGTGGCCTCGTTGTTTCCTCGACATTCCTCAAAAGTATTACTAGAGAGCCAAGCTCCTTAGTGATTTTCCTAGTAATATTGCCTTGGAGACTGGAATCTGATATCCATGATGAAAGACTCTCTTTGCTTTTTGTTGATTGGGCTACATAACGTTCTGGTACACTAAATGTAACATTTTGTTGGGCATCATCTGATAGTGCTCCTGATGTGTCGACTGTTGTCTTGTCGTTATGAATAGAATATTGTTGTAATGCTGAATAGTTCTCTGCATATTCTCCAACGTTTTTTGTTGAGGGATTGAGGGACATTTTTTTTGATTACTGACTATAGTATCTCTTTACATGATTGATAAGTAAATGAGATAAAACGATAAAGTTGTTTTCAAATGGTAGATTGAATTATTACCACGAAAGTCACAAAATTATAACGTCTACAGACATCAAATTCTCCCTCCAAAGCTGAAGATGTTTCAACTACAACTCTAACCAATGTATTCTAATAATTCACAGTCATCTCAAATGAGAATACATTAATTATCAAAAATGTCAGCACGAGGAGCTAATCACAATCTCTCAATTCTTCTTCTTTGTATTCTTCTTGTTGTAGTTCTATTGATATCCTATTCTATTGACAATGTTGAAGGAGCAGTAAAGAAGAAGAAGAAATCCAACAAGGCAGCAGAAACTGTCCTTATTGTAGTCAAGAAAAATAACCAATTTCCAGAACTTGAGGTGAGGGAATTGAAAAAGGGTCGTAAGAAACAATCCGATCCAATTCAAGCATCTTCCAACAATTATAATCATCAAGGCAAAGCTCAGAATATCCAACAACAACAAGGAGAAGCTGAAACACTCACAGAAGGAGAGGTATTAGCAGAACAAGCAAACACTGCTGCCCAACCCCAACAACCAACTTCATCTCTTCCCAACAAGACTATCGCCACAAAGGCACAATTAGAAGCCAACACAAAAACCATGATTATTATCTTTTCTATTGTCGGTTGTATTATTCTTGGATTGGCTTTAATTGGTATTATTGCTGGAGTAGCCTTTGTGGTCAAACAGAAGAGAAATTATCCTTCTTCTTCGGGTGCTGCTGCTTCATCTAATTGTTGTTCCAAGTTGAAGAATTTGTTGTGTTGCTGTTGTGCAAGGCGAGCAACCTCCCACAGTAAGAAACATGATGATTATGAGAATGGTAGTAGTGGCGGGTCAATATTGTATCGACAAGATGATGACATGAAGAGGCAATTGTTGGACAAGTTGCAAGATTATGAATTGTAATTTTTTATTTTGAAAATTAGAAAATTTTATTTTCATAATAAAAACCTAAAATCTTTCTTTCAAATCTGTAACGGTAAAAGCGGCAAAACCTTTTAATCTTCTTATTAAAAAAAAATGAAAAAGAGGATGACATGAAGAGGCAATTATTGGAGTGGTTTTACGTGATGAAACTCCAAGAATTGTACATCACCATCGCAACATCATCTAAATAGTAGTAATAATAGTAATTTTTATTAGTGGGTTAGCATCATGAAATTGGAATTTATTTTGCATCATGGAAAAATTCAAGTTGGTGTATCATCATCTGATCATGCAATATTGTTTTCCATCAATAATAGTATTTGTGGAATTAATTGTTAGTAATTTAATTAAATAAATGAAAAGCCTTTCGGAAAAACAACATATTCTCTCACCTTGTTGTTCTTCATTAACTTGAATCATAACTACTATTTAAATAGATAATAAACAAGGTTCATCATTCGATTTTTAACAAGACTTATTAATCAAAGTACTAAATGCTCTTCAATATTCAATTATAAGAAATTTTCAATATAACTAAAAAGTTGCTTCAATTCTGCTATTCCATTTCACGTCTCAATTCCTCCCAAAATGGAAGAAAGCTACAAAAAGTTCCCAACATGTCAACTTGTTAAACTGGGTTTTAAACCTAATTCACTGCCAACCTTTGATTGACATTTAGAACTCACAAAAAAACAACACAACACCACCACCTGTCAAAACCATGAGTAATGATGACAACGACGTGCCCATGACCCCAAGGAGAGCATCCAGACAAGTCCAAACCAAATTCAACTCTCGTGATTATGCTCTCGTATTTGAAGAAGCTATCAAAGATAAGGACTGTAGAGCAATTTTTAAGAGATTTCTAAAGAAGAGTCGTTCGGAAGAGTTGATGCAATTTTATGAAGAATATACAAAATATGATGAATTATTCTTGGAATGTTTGAATGCTAGTAGTTCTGGCGGTTCAGGTGGGAAAGGAAGGAGGAGTACCACAACATCAAAATCTGATGAGGATGACACAGTTTCGAATAGATTGAGTGTTAATAGTGCAGACTCTTCGACTAAATTGTTTAGGAAAGCAATTCAAAAGTTGTGGATTCAGGCACAAAGCATGATAGGTAGATTTATTCAACAAGGTGCTGAACATGAAATTAATATTGGAAGTTTACAGAGAATGACATTTTCTAGGTGGCAAATATTGGATGACTTGACACCTGTTGTTTTTCAAGAAGCTAATTGGACTGATAATGAATATCAAACACTGTTGAATGTTTATCAAACAAAATTGGATCCTAATGTGTTATTTGAAGGATTATTAATAGCAGTATTACAGGATTTAAAGCATGACCAATTTCCAAGATTTGTCAGAAATGATTTACTATTCGATTACTTACAAAAGAAGGGTGAGGTCTACACAAGAGCTATTGCCATCAATGTTTCACATGGATTTAATGTTGATGTAAGATTTCAACCAAGTGATTTACAAAGTAAGGTCATTGATGAAAAGATGATTTTCTTTGGATTCACACTTTTACAAGATACACCAGATTGGGAACTAATCCTCGATAAGGATGATATTCAAGGATACATGTCCAAGACCAGTTACTTCTTTGGAAAGGATACAAGTGTTGGAAAGGAGAAGAAGGGTTTACGGCTGCATAAATCTGTTTACACATTGCCTTTCTGTATTGAGGATGTTTGGAAAATGGTGTGTAATCAAGAAAATCATTTAAAATTTGATCCAAAAGCAAATGAGGAATTCAAATTGAGAGATTTTAGGGAACCAAATCAAGATTGTGAATTTGCTGTAACGGAAACAGAAATGGGACCAAAATTCATGCCCATCATGAAAAGAAGACACTTTCCATTTATTACAACAACTTTTTATGACTCTCGTTTGAAAGGTTATGTGGTTGTCTGTAGAAGTTTCAATGATTCTGATAATCACACCGATAGAATTCACTATGATGGTTTTGCATATACCATGTACATACCAAATGGTGATAAGGCAACCAATGTTTTCATGATTGACTACTCAGATATCAAAATGCCATTCAAGGCGGCCATTTTGGAGAATACAGCCTACAAATTCCACATTCCAACAGTTCAGAAGGGTATGGTTAAGGTATTGAATGAACTCACCAATAATAGCACAAAGAATGTAGAGTGGAATGAGTCTATGGATGGAAGACACTGGTGGAAAATGGCAGAATTGCACAAAAATCGTTATCCTAACAAGTCATGGTATGATGAGTGGTTGAAAAAGTAGCCCCAAAGACAGCAAGAAACCAAGTTTCTTCACTCAATAGTAATTACAACCATTTCAGATTCCCAATAAGACAAATTGCCGTTTGCAAACTAGAATTACTGAAATCTGAAGTTCAATATTGCTAATATTGCTAATGTTTTGTAGGTGAAAATAACCTAATCTATTGCCAAAGCACCAGTAAGGATTTCCCTCAATTGTTCAAAGCAGCTGTATTGTTACTTATTTAAATTATTTATTTTTCTTTTTGAATCAAATTAAAATTCATTTCCCTTCTTCTTTTTCAATTTGTCAACCTTAATCTTGTCAATCTTCATTTCACGTTGGAAAGCAAGAGATTGCTTGAATCTGTGATGAGTATCCATCATAACGAGGCATGTTTCCTTTTCCAAAATGTTAAACATATCTTCTGGAAGAGTTTCAATTTGCTTATCATTGAATTTGTCCAACTTATCCTTAACAGAATCCACCAAAACATGTGATATATTGACAGCCATATCACCAGTCACTTCCAAGAATTCAGTAAATATTTCAAAAGCAACTTCATACTTTTTGGCTTCAACTTCTGCATATTCCCTTTCAAGTGGAGATTCCTTCTTCTTCTTTGATGATTGAGCTGACTCTGCTGAAATATCACTCGAAATATCACTCAATGCATTATTTTCTTGTCCAAATAATCTCATTTGCAAGTCAATTGAACGTTCACATAACGTTCTATAATATTGAATCTTTTCAAGAAGTAAATAATTTTCAATTGACTTTTCCTTTTCACAATGAACCTTAAAAAGAGCTCTCAAACCATCATCTTCCATTGTGTCCATTAACATGATTGCATTGGCACGACGAATCTTTTCCAAATATAAAGAATCACGATTAATAGCATAGGTAAAAACAAAGACAATGATTGGCATAATGACAAATAGTGAAATTGCAATAACAATCAATTGTACCAATGTAATACCCAATACTTGTGAATCCTTTTCCTTTTCTCTGTTTTGTATAAAGGCAACTAATTTATCCAGACCTGACTGGAAAATTGCTTTTTCAGAATAGAAATAATCAGAACTAATCTTTTCAATTGAATCTTCTGGTTGAGTTTTCAGCATTATCAATGCTTGATTATTCAAAGATACTACCATATTAGAAGCTTCAATAGCTGTAGAATTGAATAAAGTTTGAATTGACTTGTCATCCACAGTTTTGAAAATTAAAAGTAAAGTTGATTTCATATCAGCAGTCTTGTTTTTAAATTCATTAATCACAGCTGAGTGACTTGGTTCATCAACATATCCTGTATAGACATGTTTCAACACCACAGCATTTGAACTTTCGAATAGAGAAGTGACCTTTCCAACAGCAATTAAAATATCAGTTGCCTTTGTACTAGCAGTTGCAAATGCAGCAATTGCAACACCTGCCAAAACCAACAAACCAATGACAGTAACCAACATTCCCAATAAACAAGCCAATTTCATTGAAGTCAACTCAACCACACCACAACATGTACGTAAAGTAATTTTACTCTGACTAAATGAACTACCTGATTTACCACTTTCACTTGGTTGTCCAAAACCTACTTGAGATTGTCCAAGTTTCGTATTACCATTCACAGCACTACCAGATTGAATCGTAACTTGTTTCTTTCCATTACTATTATTATTAATATTACCAGTGATACTTGTTCCACCATTTGTTTTGTTGGGATTATTAGGATTGCTGGTAATGAATGTATTTGTGTTTGGTGGTGTAAATTGATATTGTTGTTGAGTGGTTGGTTGTTGTTGTTGTTGTAGTGGAGGAGAGGATGAAGTTGAAGCCAATTCTATTGAAGTGGGGTTTGTTGTGTTAATAATATTGTTGGAATCATGACTGTTGGAGAGTATTATTGGTGGTGGAGAGGTGGATGTCTCCGGAGAGGTTGTATTCATCATGATGATAATTTAATAAATTATTATATAAATTATTATTAGTATTTGTAGTATTATTATTAATCTAGATTTAAAAGATATGATGATGATTTTATATTTATTTGATGATCATCGTGATGATGATGACGGAGATAAATCCGATGATGATGGCGCGATTTTGTGTTGGTTTATACTGTTAAATATTAACTAAAAACCTACCACGAGTTTTATCTATATTGTTAAATGTTTGGCAGTTGTGTACAATTACTACTGTTGTGTTGTTGTTGAAAGCAAACTAAGTGTTTTTGGTTTTGGAGTTTCTTTTTTACGTTTGTGAAATCTGTTGGTGTGTTGGCTTGGACTTTTCTTTGGAGTCTGACGAGGTTGTTGCATGTTGAATGGTTTGATAACCTAGAAGAGAATGGCTTGTCATTTTATGGACAGTTGATGGGAATTAAGTTTCGAATAAGTATGAGAAAGTTTGGGAATTGGTTTACTAATTGGACGGCAATGATGGATTATGGTCATGTGAAGAATTTCGGATGAGATTTGTGAATGGCTTTTGCTTATTTGCATGTTTCGAATATTCGTGCAACTTTCTTCAAAAAAAATAGATAAAGAAAGAGTCTAACAAATCGAAACAGGTACCTGTTTAAAGAGTGTTATCATCGCAGTTATCTTTGGTACGATATTTGGATAAAAATCATAGTAGTTCGATTGTAATAAGTTTGTAATGAATATTTCGAATACCAAATAATTTATTCTAAACCCTTATTGATATTTATGCAATTCAGGATCTTTCAACAACCTTTCCATGTGCTCTCTCCACAAACTCAATTGAACAACTAAACTACCCTTCTCAACACCTTCCACAATTTTGAAAACGCCATCCAAAATTGTTGGAATTTCACCAACGAAAATTGGACTTTCGTTTGAGAATTTCAAATCGAATAGATTGAATGCAACCCATGAGGTGGCGAAAACATCAGTTCCAAATAGGACATGCATGTCTGATGGTCTAACTTTTTTAGAAACTGAAATCCAATCAATGAAATCTTGGACATGTTGTTTGTCCATGGTTCGGTTGACTGCATGTCTGGACACAGGTGCAAGAGTGGATAAATTGGAGTGGAGAATGGATTCGACAGAGATTCTATCAGATTGTCCATTCATTACTAGATAACCAAAGTAATCTTTTTGGATATTCAATGGTTTTCTTACATTACACGAATGTAAAAGACAAGAAGTTTGAGAATTCGAAAGGTTTCTTGCTTTGGTGATGAGTTTCCACATGTGTGAACAGAGAGCATCATTGGTACTAATCCATGAGTTTGCATTCGATAGTTCAATAGATGACATTGCTTCCTTCTTCATGGCTTGAAGTTCTTTTTCACTGAATTTAATCATCTTGGCAGTACATTGACCAATCTTGGCATACAATTCTTCATAATTGATATGTTCTTCACTTTGAGTCCAGAATGGAAATGACTTTGGTGATTCCTTATTCGAAACCTTAATCACTTCATTCCTATTCAAGCAATCATATCGTATATTGTCAATACTTTCACCCCTGAATAGTTGAGACCATCTATGCAAGAACTGAGCATGAGAATCACCATCTCCTAATTGATGTAACAATTCTGAAACTAACAAAACTCCACCACATTTGAAATAAGTAACTTGAATTTGAAGTGGAGCATCTTGAATGCCTTTCCATTGGGTGTATAGATCTTTAGGATATTGGTCGTAATCTCCCTTATCGAAATCATCAAGGTTAAAATTGGCTTGTGCAATGGTGAAGGGAACACCACAAGTTTCGTTTCGAATATCTACAAACCATTCACCTTCGTTATTTCTTACTGTTCTGCCGGCGAATATTGGAAAGATAGATAAAGTCTTTTCCAGTGCACTCATCAGTTCAGTTGCATTCATAAAGTTTGGTTCCGATTTTTCATTTCTATATGCAAATTGAAAGTGAAATGGAAGAGCAGGTGCCAAATTATCAAATACTGTCAATTTGACTAGTGTTTCTTTGGAAAGTAGTGGTTTGACAAGGATTGGAGATTTGCTGACTTGTTGCATTTTTTTTATGATGTAATTTCAATTTGAAAATTCAATTTCGTAATTGAATTTCGTAATAATTGACTTACAGCGCTCATCCTTATTCAAATCTTTAACACCGCAATTTGGAAATATATTTAAAAATTTATTGTAACACTAGAAAAATATTTAGAATGTGAGAAAATTTATAAACCATTCATGTATTTCACATCACTTTCTAACATGCTTTCAGTTACAACACCGATATTTACACAATATCTTGATAAATCAACATTCTCATTGATTTTCTTTCTTGATAATTTAATCAAATGATCCCATAATTTGATTCTATCTGGTTGGTAGGTCTGTAATTCTTCAATTAATCCAATCATGTATTGAACATCTTCATCTGCCATTTGATTGGTAAACATTGACACGAATTTTTCACATAGCATTGCCAGCTTGTCATTTAATTTCTTTGATTCCAATTCATAAAGCCATTCATCTTCTTTCACATTATTGCTTCTTATCAACTCATACACTGTTTGCACATTTTCAAATCCAGAGAAATGTTCACTCGAATATCGGTCAACTGGAGCAAACACAAAGCGAGAATTTGCCTTATGATTCAAATAGGTACTCTCATCTACAAGAATATTAGTAGAAATAACACTATTCAAATAAGCCAAATCTCTGGAGCATTTCATCGAACGTCCAAACATTGCATAATATCTCATTTGTTTGTTTCCGATATTTCCTTGAAGACATGATCCAGTACTTATTCCAATATGCAAGTCAACTGGTGTTTTCTTTTCATTGGTTAATGTTTCATTGAGAGAATTGAAGAATGATTTGATTTTAAGGGATGTTTCTAGAATGGTAATGTTATCAGGGTGAATGACTGCATATTCATCAACACTCTTCGTGTGAACATCAACTTTCATTGTCTTACATAGTTGGAGAATGTTAGTATAGCATTTTGATAGCAAATTACTCAAATCATAGGTGTTATCGATCATGTTAAATCCTGTAATCTTGATATACATTACAGAGCTGTTAAGGGTTGACAAACCAATTTTGAAGAGATTCATCTTGTTATTGGTATTGTTATCAACACCAAGGAAGAATGATGAAGTATGTGAGGATTTCTCTTCCAAGTATGATGAGTTCTCCTTTTTTAGGTAATGTTGTTTGGCTGAATTTTCAATGACATGTTGATCTGAAGGTGTTGTAATTACTTTAGGTTTCTGAGGATCATTACTTTCCAATTGATTAAGAATATTCTCTGGAAGGAAAGCTCTAAATTCCTGTAACCACTTGACTGTCAAGTACAAACTCACATAGATATTTCTAATTTCGGTAAAGATTGAAGAGTGTCTCTCGATTTCTTCCAAACTCATTACTTCAATCTTTGCAAAATCGGATTGAATGATTCGAAGAGGTTTCGTTATGGCATATCCTATCAAGATACTAAACATCATTCCAATTAAGGTGACTCCAATAGCAACACCCAAAATGACGTAACTGCTAAGAATGACATTTTCCATAATTTCACTCTCCTCACACACTATTGTCATTCTCCATTTCAAATTATCTATTGAATAGGATGAACTGGAAATCATGTAGGAAATTCCATCTTCTCCTGTAACTTGTGTAATATCTCCTTCTGATACATTCATTGATAGATACTTGTTCATTAGTGAACCAGCATTTCGAACTGTTACATTTCTTACTGGAATTCTGTCAAAACCAACTCCCGTAATATTCAAATTGGCTCCAATAATCATATCATTGGCATATTCAGTCAGAATGATATATCCTCTATTCAAAATCTTTAATTTTGATAAAAAGGTTGAAATTTTACCTAGTGAAAGATTGATCTTTGAAATTCCAATTCTTCTCTTTTCGGCTGGCCACACTGTTCTGTCGTAAACTGGAGATGAATAATAAATTGATTGAACTCCATCAGAGAGCACTATTTACATTCAAGAAAACAGCATGTGAATATAGTAAATAAAAAATATGTGAATATAGAAAGGAAATGAATAACTTACCCTTATAAGGAGGACCAAAACCACCAGGTGAAGTTGGATAGGCATTGAATATTCTCAATGATTCCTTGTAGTAATCTGTAGTATTTATAAAATACTTTGGAACGCTTGTTGAAACCTTATCATACATGGGCACCACTGATGTCAAATTCAAATCGCAAATGGTTAATTTTAGATTATTAAAATTTACGAAAGCCCAACTTTTGGTGTCCACAGCAAAAAGTCCATTATTATTCAATTCACCAAAACAAATATTCAACATTGTAACATTGTTGTAAATTATTCTACTGTGAAAGTATGGAACTAGCGAACTATCGGTATTGATTACTTTTCTGTGATAATCATCAGCCAGAGTGATGGATAAACTTTTTGCTAGCATTAAGGGTCTATCAAGAAAGTTTATAATCTTCTCCTGGATAGTCTGGACAAGTACTTTTGTCGATTGTATTGATTCCCTTTGATGCATTACATAAGCAGAGAGCCAAACACTGAATGATGTAGCAATGACCAATATCATGATTAGCATGACGAGGAATAACCTAAAGGAAAGACAAAAGCCTAGTAAGGGATTTCTATCATGTATGCTCTTACTACTCTGTATTTCCTCATTATTATTAATATTATTATTGTTGTTGTTGTTGTTGTGATTAATATTGTTAGTGGTTGTATTGTTGTTACTGAAGGAATAGAGATTGCTTGCAGAATAGCTATCATGATGATGAGGTGCAATTCTAGTCATTTTGTTAGAGTTGGAGAGTTTAAAGTCAGCGAGATTGATACCACTATTAGACGCTGGTTCACATGATACAACCTTAATTGCGCACACAACAAACACCGTGGTTGGAGTGTTACTCCTTATATGATACTAACTGTGTGTAAGTTCTCTATCTCTCTCGCTTGTTGAGGAGTCACAAACATAACAGAATCAAAATGAAGGTTCATCATACCTCTTGATTTAGTGAGCGTAAAAATGGAGATTCTGCGAATGATTCTGTTGCGTGTTCAAATATTTCGCCTTAATGATATTAATTTGTGTGAGATGGTGACCAATTAGTGGTTTGTTGGCATATAAGTTCGTATCACCTCGTTGCCTTAATGAGACAACTCAAGGTGGTTTTCTTACAGCACATGTTATTTTAAAAAGCAGGAATAGGATCACTGATTCCACAACTATGGAATATTACTAACCTGACGTTTATATTTATTTTATATTTATTATACATTCATTTTATTTATAATGAATAATTGCATTTTGAATTTTCTTTAAAAAAAATACTTAAACAAACAATTTGTATTGTTAAATATGAGATTCGTTAAGCATATGCTAGCAGTAATTGTACCACAGTCGGAGATAGATGACTCGGTCGATATAATTAGCAAGGTTGAATTTAGGGATGTTTGTTTTAATGTGTTTAGAATTGATAGTAATGGTGATTTAATTCCTCCCTCCACCAAGTTCTCCCAAAGAAAATTAGAGTTTCTTACTAATATTAAGGACATTTTGCAGAAAACCACAGGTGGAATGGCTCGTATTGGCTATCTAAGTAGGAAGGATCCAAGTGCTTCTGGTACTTGCTTTTATTTACTTCCCGATGTTGTAATTACCAACTCCCACGTTGTGAATACAGATCAAACCCCTTTCGTTTATAAAGGAACCTTTGAGGAGGCATCTAATGGTTATTTACAAAAGTTGAATCCTATTGAAAGAAAATTGCTCTTCTCTGGATCAGCCTTACAGAATGGAATAAGGAAATATAACCACTCCGTAACACGAGCACATTTCCCAAGTGTGGATGATGCTTATGTAGATCCAATACTTTCTTTGAGAGGAGATTTTGGATATATGGATGTTTCCTTGCACCAACTGAAATGCCTATCCAAGAATTTAGAAATGTCTAAAGTACTAATGATTCCGTGTCCTACACTCCTTCAAGTTTCGGATCCTATCTTCACTCTGCATTATCCAGGGATCGAGGGGTACCAATTTTCCAACCATAAAAGAGGAGAATGTGCAAACTATTTTAATTGGGCTCCCAACGACAATGTTGTTTCTAATTTGTTTCATGGTTTTGGAAAGCTATGTATTAGTACTGGTAAAGTATTGGCCCCATACGCAGAAATGAAAGATGAAAATGGAAACAATATTTGGGCTCCAAACACTTCACATCAATACACATCTCTTAATTCTGATTTCCTTATAACAAATGAATCTGTAATGATGGGTTCTTCTGGTGGTTGTGTACAATCCCATGCTTGTGAGGTTGATGAGATTAATGGTGTGACATTGGTAGAGTTTCACGCCATCCATTTTGGAGGCGAATTTGTTAAATGTAAGAATTGCTTAAAGCACATCAAACAACAAATGAATGTTAATGATGAATATCCATCTTTATTCCAAGGTTTACCTCGAGAATGGAACTTTTGCACAGATTGTCAAAATGGAATAGAACCTTCAAAAATGGTATACAATTACTCTGTGTCTGTCCATCATCCATTGTTCAAACAGGTCTACAAGAAATTAATTTTGCCAGATTTGTTGAATGTGTTGAATATTGATTTGTCAGACAATAGATTAGAACGATTGAGACAATATTTAGATAGTTGAAAAGCTTCAAAGCTGCAGTCAGGTTGATTTGCATGCAATCTGAAATATGTCGCATGACTCAAGTGATTATTCACCAATTCAATGAACAATATTCAATATTCGTGATTTGAATCAACAGCTTGATTAACAAGCTTATGAGAAACATAATGGTGGTGGAATTAATCAATAAATAGTTGAAAACACTGAGATGGAATGTAAACTATGGTCTATTTGTTATGTAATGGTGACTAGACAGTGTCAATTTCATCAAATTATTTCAAACTGATTACATTCAATAAAAAAAACCATTCTATTCATCAAATATGTCATACAGAATGGCTTAACTGGTCTAAGCGCAAAAGAACACCTAAGAATGTTGCCCTAGAAGTCTACAAAGCACTAGCTCAGTGTGGGATACAAGCTTCACTATTAACAGGAAATACCTCTCTGCCTACCACTGGCAGGCTCAGTCTAATCAACCACTTAGCGTCACAAAGCACTTAAACGTGTCTCTCTGGTCTTTACGATACAAGAGACGTTAATCTTACAATTTATATGTTTAAAATGTATTGCATGGTACTTGTGCTATTTCTCAAAGGTCAATTTTTTTTACCTGGAACTCTATTGTTTGTCCGACTTGTGATATACTTGGCTCAGCATCGGCTCAACAAGTGACCATTTGTTCTCAAGGTTGGTGGTGGTTATCGTTTCGTACTCATTGGATCTTTATTATTACTGAAGAGTGGACACATTTTGGCGAGTGACGATTGGCGAAGATCTCCAATCGCATATTCCATTTCGTATACTTGAACTTTCGCCAATTTCATGTACGTGAACTAAGGAATCGTAAAATTTATGTGGCGAAAAAGCAATTAAGGAACAATAAAATGGAAATTCCAATTTATTATTCCAATTAAAAAATCTTTACAAAACCGTTACATTTTGTAAAGTAGTTTTCGAGAGTATAAATGGAAAGAATTTAAAGTTATTCATACAATTTAGTTCACTAAAAAATGTCCTCACGTTCTCACAGATTCACCATCAACAACGTATTCAAAGATTCAACACCAAGCATTGAGGTTAACGAAGAATCTAAATTCGATAAGCTGTCCTTCCCTTCTGTTGGCACTCTTTATCATTCTTCTACCATTTCTGATCCATTTAAATCTCTTATTCAATACAACATTAAATTAAATGGAGAAAAGCCAAGAGAGATTGATGGCAAGGTTTACCAATTTCAAAGTGGTAAATGTAAAGGTTGTAAACAGTGCACAGCTAGTGGGTGTTCACTTTGTTACAATCTTAATTCAAAGAGAAAGCTGTGTCCTGTTCATAATTGCAATTTGGAACATAGAAAGTGTAATACCAAATTTTATATTGGCTCAACCAGTCAAGACCAGTTCGTCTATTCTTCTTCTTGTCATTCACATCCAAATCCACCTCCAAGAAAGATTCCTCCAAGCCAAAGACTTGAAATGGGTGCTGCATTTCAAAACAATACTACTCTTACAGCCAAAGATGTATCATTGGGTATTGGATTATCTGAAATTCCTGCTTTTGAAAATAGAGCATGTGCAAATATTTCAAGAATTCAATCCATCAAAAGGCAAGCTCTAAAATTGGGTGGCTCATCTCCTTCCTTGGTTATTTTGAAAGTTGAAGAACAACATGTACCAGATTTTCAAAAGAAAATGAAAGATGTTGATCCTTCAGATTTACAATGGGTCAGAAACATTGTAAACGACGTGGATAATTCTTTGATTCATACACAATTTCCATTATTTTCTAAAATAATTAAGGAGAAGGCGAATTTTCTGGTAATAGATTTAAAGCATAAGTCAAAAGCAGGTCCTTATTATCATCACCTTGGTTTTTCTTCTTTTATTGAAGAACAAAAGGGAGGTCATTCAATCCAATTATGTAGAATTCTAATGGAAGAACAAACATATCAAGAACCGTTTCTATTATTTCTAAACACTCTTGAAAAAGATGGTTGTAATTTGAATGAATTGTTTGTTGGGCCTAACTGTAAAATCAAAGGGATTTTGGTTGATTTTAGCCAATTTCAATTAAAAGGTTTAAAAGACGCCTTTAGGGTAAAGTTTGGAGAAAAAGGTGATTCTATAATTGATGAATTGGTTTCAGGTTGTTTCGTACATTTCCTTCGTTCAGCAAGAAGATTGGTAAATTCGCTGCCAATAGAACAAGAATACAGAAATCTGGTTTTCAAAATGTTGGAAAGTGTTAAAGAATTTAAGAAAGAAGATGAAATCATCCATATCATCAATGCTATTGAGGTATTCTGTGCAGGAGCAGCAACTTGGTGTACTTGGTGGAAGCAACCACATATCTTGAAATTGCTTCTTGCAAAAAGTTCCCAAGAAAATGATATACCAAGACATACAAACCACCAAGAAATTCTTAATGTAAACGTACCAACCTATGGAGGTAACTATGTCATTGAATCAGAGATGCTCTTGAGAGAAGATATGTTGGCATTGATAAGATATTTGAGTCTTTGTTCTGGTGTGGAATTATCATATAGAAATACTACTAAGCAAGGGAGAGAGAAGAGAAATCTGTCTCGTAAACAAGCTCAATTCGATAGTAGACCAGCAGATACTGTGGCTAGAGGAATAGTTCCAACCAATGTTTCGACAATAAGTGTTATCAAGAATTTCGTTCAAGGAGTGGAAGAAATGGAAAGGAAGAAGCTTGATGATTTTGCAGGAGAGCAAGCTGACGATTTGAATGACAAAGATTTTACTCCTACTGGATCCGTTGAACCTGCAAAACAAAAGAGAACCCCTCGAACTCCAAAGAAAGGCGTAAAAAGAGCAGCCAAGCCTTCACCCTCTCAAACTAAGAAGAAGTCAAAGGTGATTGAAGACGAATATTCCAGTAGCTCATCTGATGGATTTGAGAGTGCTGCCAGTAATTCTATTACTGATGAGTCCGAAAGTGAATCTGATTCCATTCGTGATACTGAGATATTCACAAGATCCAAAGGATTAATTGGAGATCCAAATAGATCTGAAAGTGCTTAATTGAAAGCTGCTAGAAAACATGGTGTTGACTCTTCTAAAAGAATTTCTTTGTAATTTTAATAACAAATACCCAACAAATGTTGGAATTTTTGGTTTATTTGTTTCTTTTTCCAAAAACTTAATCGCAATTTTCATCTGGAGATTTTCGCCAATCTCCAATTTCATTAAGCGAATGAAACCATTCGCAAAATTCAAGTGGCGATTTTCGCCAATCGTCGATCGCCAAAATGTGTATACTCTATTCACCGAAATATATACTCAATGATATACATCATTAAATAGGTTACAATCTCAGCTATCCAGTGGGCTATAGATTGTGTATGGTTTCTTATCTAATTATTGAGATAATCAGCAATTGTTATAGGCGATAAAAACTCGAATGGAGATTCAGGCAATTAAATTCGTTGGTATGGACGTGCCAGGCGAAAAATAACTGGAGCAAGGTACTATTAAATAAGT